AGGTACTCTTGCAAAATAAACTCCTTTATCTCTTCCACTTTTCGATGCGCAGCCAACAATCATACATAAAACCATCTTCACACTCAAGACGCTCTTGGTTTGTTTACACTTTTGGTACACCAATATGGCGGCTAGCAACGGTTGTCAAGTGATTTGGTCACGTGCGTGAAAACGATCTATATTAAAAAACCAGTCAAAGGCTAGTTGTAAACACACTTGTAAATAACAATAGAGATAATGGCAAACCGTTTCAGAGGACTTTGTATGTTTGAACTTTGTATCGTCTCATTGCAAGTACGCTTCGCTAATCCTCGCTCAAGCCATACTTGATAGTTAGTCTATAAACAGAGGCCGAGACCATCTCTGGTCCTCATGGCATTTGCAAATCAAGCAGTCTGCTGGTTTTTCAGCCATTTCGGCGGAAAATGCTTTGAAATAGTAATTGTTGTTGACCGTCTTCAAAAGCGTAAATTTAGCTAAAAGTATAGTTCTAGTTTCTTTTCAGTCAGTTGTCGATGTAGAACATATTAACGACTAATAAATATGTATTATTACGACGATATATTATGAAACATTTGCACGTTAGCGATTCCCGCGCCTCAAGCCATACGCGACACATAGTTAATCAACTATGTCAGGTCCGTGATCAAATTTCGCCGCCACTCACAATCGCGTCAAGAACCATATACTACGCGAGAATGGATTACCTACATCTAGCTTTTGCTTTCTTTCTAAAAAAAATTCTACCACTTGCAAGGGAAGATTATTGATACAAAATATGCTGGTATTTTAATCTTATGATGGAATTGATTTTTTTTTTGCTCCAAATGGCGTGAAACTTCGACATTGCGTGAGATGAAGGAGGAAATATGGAAAAAAGGTAAAAATACTAATGGCGCACAGAAATGCCTGTAGCTTTTACACTTATTAAAGAAAGTAAAGTAAGAGACTAGATTCCCCGTACCAGTATTTTCGAAGCGTTAATAACTCGGAGAAGCCTCTTAAAAGGCAAATAGAAAATTCGCGGGTTTCGCCGGTTCGAAGACTAAATTAATTTCATTCGCATTGAGTTAGTTTTTTTTCCGCCTAGTGATAATTATACTGACCTATACTGTTGTATGAAGAAAAAAACATAAAGCAGGGTTATCAAGGTCACCGGAACACTTCTCATGTTTGTCATCTCTAACGTTTAAAATTACCTGATAAGTAAGCATATTCCGCTTAAACATACATAATTCTACGCAAATTCTGCGTCTTTGACAGGCTTTCCAGCAGAAAATGTGTAAATGGTATCTCAATGGAATTTTTTTGCGCAGAATGTGCTTATCGTCCGGTACTTTAAGCAGAACATGCTTATATTGCCGGTTTTTACGCTTGACCTGCGTAACTCCGGATTTGTTTTGGCACTCCGGATTTTCACTGACAGTTGTTAATTGTAACTTCCATTGTATCTATTATTGTAACTTTTGTAATTTTATATACATGTTCATAGTGTATAGCTCCTCTATGATATGTGTTTAAATAAACTATTGTCTAAAGATAAAATGGCTGCCACAACCATTTCCCCTCGATTTGCTTTAAATTTTTCATCACAATAATCTGTCATCTTATTGGCTAAAATCATTTTCTATTGTTTATTATTGAATCAAAAGCGAGAATTTTTCACATATAAACAACAATGCTCTAAGCCAATCAGAATTAAGTATTTTTTCATGCATGTTATTAGTTCTACAAACATCAGGTGATGATTAGTTACACCTACATGACTGTATTTATTAAATCACATGAATAAAAGTAAGCTAAAAGAAAAAGGCACCAACCTGTGGAGAATCCAGTTCTTTTGTGGCAGTGTGTAAATTCTATTGTAAAGAATGTTACCAGGGCATGTATATAATCATTTCTTTGGCTGTAGATGCGAAATGGTGCTATAAAGTCTAAATCTTCTTTCTTGACTGTATGCAAATCCACTTCCTATAGATTCAGAAACCAAAGATATCATAGCATGAAATGGATTTGAAATGCTGAGGATTGAAGCAAAGTGAGATGTTTGGAATTGCATATTTTTTCTCCATAAAACTATTTATAAAAACAGGGTGCACACAGGTTTTTTTCTATTTTTCCAAACAATTAATGACTTTTCCAGTTCTTTTCAAGGAGTTTTACAAATTTTTCAAGGACAGCAAAATCTCCCTTTTTTACTTAAAAAAAAAAGGGCTTTAWTTAACGAGGGTGACATACATTACTGGTAACCCAGTAGTTTCCATTAAGGCCCTCCTACAATTAATAAACTGAAATGAAATGATCAAAGAAACATAAATTGTGTTAAGAATCCCAACTGGCAAGGAGGCAAACCAGTTGGCTATTTTACAAGCATGGTTGAGAAACTGAATCTGAACTAATCAGGGATCAGGACAAATACAGTCTCAGCTAGTGGCCACAGCGGGACTTGAACTCGGCACCACCAGATTGCAAGAGTCGACGCTATGACCACTCGACCATGCTGCCTCCCTTACTCCCTTTTTTACTTGTTTCATGTCAGGAAATAGACCACTGAGTAAAAACACTCAGGAAAATACTAAAATATTTTATTCCTTTGCTCAAGCCCATAAATAATTGAGCCTGTATGACCCGCTCTCTGCAGTTTCACGCTAAAACTCATGGGATATATCTTGTTTGTTGAAAATTGAACATCTATAAAAAGGGATTTTTGATTGCTGTTCTCAGTTAAGGTTGTGTTTTAATAGGAATGTTCTGGGTTTGCAATGTATAGTATTTATTCATTCACATCTTTTTTCCTTCGCAAGTAAACAGTGAAGGGAGAGGACGGAAGGTCCAGAAACTATTAAAACTTTCCTTCTCTCAAACTCCCCTTTCATTCTCCTCAAAAGCTCTTCCCCTCCCCTGCACTCGAAGCATTGTTGTATCTTACTTACTTTCAAAAGGCAGGAGTTTGTTACAACTTGCTTTGGTTCAACAACATCAACTAGTGGCTCTTGTATTGCAACTTTTCTAACTGAACTCATGTCGAAGCCATATACACGGTCCCACCCTATAGACAAGCAAAACAATAGGTCATTGGAAAATATGTTAAAGAGCAATATGTTTTAGTAAAGATCACTTACATTGTACAACAAACTGCACAAATGACTGATCTAGAGTGTGTGGCCTATATTACAATTATTGCTTCCTTTGAGGGGAACCATACTAGTTTTTTCTGCTGTAGTCATTTTAAATCATTAGAAAGAAAAAACACTGTCATTTGAAAATTTCAGAGCCAAATTATCTAGTTATAAGACTACCAGAAARTAAAACTGAAGTATGAATTAAGCCAAGTGAATATCAAGTAAGAGAGCACATCTCCCATACATGGGTCTGTAACCATGAAAGTTTTTTGAAAATCTATTTTTAGGTCCACGTGCAAGGCTGAGCTTTTTTTAGCATGTGATTCCTAATTGTTCAGAGTAAGTAGTGACTTCAATGTGAGCGAAAAATGTTTAGTTTCCGATGAGAAAAATGTCTTCAAAATCAGTAAAAAGTTGAAATTAAACTATCATGTATTCTTCATGGACAAATTAAACATCAAACTTAACAACTGATGTAAAGGAACATCAAAAAAGATCAAATCAGAATGGTTTTCAGTTCCAGGGGGGAGGGGGGGGGGACTCTGGGAAAAAAGTACCGGGGATGCTCGTCGGAAATTTTCAATAAGACCCCTAAAAGATACCGGAAGTCTTTTAAAAAGGGAGTGGCTGAATGATTTTTAACCCCTAAGAAATACCACAACAAATAATATTAAAATCAAAAGGACCTAGAGTAAGCCATATCGATGATGCATGCTTCTCTCCTTTTCCGAAACCCRAAGAGATACCAGAAAATGCTGATTTTCAAAAATTCACACTTAACACCCTAAAAGATACCAAATCATGAATTTTTACCCATTCAAATCATGAATTTTTACCGAGCATCCCCGGTAATTTTTTCCCGGCGTCCCCCCCAGGGTTTAGTATATGAACAAGCTAAAAACAGCGAAGACGCCAAGGAAGGAAACCACGATAAAAAATGCAATGAAAATAGCGAAGAACCTATACAGTAAAGACAGCGAAAAGAGCATTTATCATAGCGTTTTTGATAGTAAACAAAATTTAAGTTCCAGTTATTAAGAAGATGATAAACGAGACCAGTTTTTTGTTTCACACAGGAATCAGAAAAAACTATTTGCACTGAAATGTGTGCCGAAGAAAAATTTCTGTTTTCACAGAGGAAAAACTACAAAAGGCACTGAAATGATTTTTCGCAATTATTCAATATGTTTAGCTTGCCAAAATACGGCATGTGCTCATTTTATGCAAAAGATATTGCCCTATGAGAAAAGGTGAATTAATGAAAAAGTTTGACAAATAAAACTAGAACTTGCTTTCATATTTTGCACCATGAGTTTCTGCTCCACCTCAATGTTCAGGTATTTTTTTCATAACTTTTCAACTTCTAAAGTCCCCAACAGACAATAGAAATACAATCACAATATCAGCCAAGTCCAAAAAGTGAATCAAACTTAGTATTTGAGGATTCAAACTAATAGAAAAGAGATTATTTTAACATACTTGAAGGGCACCTGCTTTAAGGGCATTTTAATTTTACTTGCGTTTTTTCCACCAGATGCTCTCATCAGTTAAGCGTATTTGTGCCTTTATGTTTAATTCTTCTATTCCGAGCAGCTTGAAAGGGACTAGCGGCAAATTGTCGCTTGGTTGATGTTGTTGTAATCATGTAATTCAATACGGGGCAGTTCACCGCGATATATAGACAGCGTGCGGAGTTTTTTTTCATTGATGGAGCAAATTATAATATTCTGCGATGGAAAAGTATCGAAGTCGCGGATCTACTCGTAACTGAATGTCTTGCAAAGTACAGGTAATCCTAGCAAGTAAGATAATATCATTTAGAGCTGTCCTATTCGATGCAACTGAGATAAAATTGGAAACGCAAATATGTTTGACTGTATTTAAATGACTTGACTGTATTATCGATAGATTGTTGTAGCTATTTTGGTTAAATGGTTGGTTAATAAAGTGAGTACAATAATTCTTCAATAAAGGCAAGCAACAGTGATTGCTATTTAGAAGATGGTAGCGTGAACATTTGAACTTGACATTTAGGCGGGAGGGCCCAATGCGGTGTGCTTTGCAAGCTATTGCAACAATAAATTTGTATGTTCATACRTGATTCGTTTCTATGGAGAAATATCGACTTAGCGATACGCAATTCTACAAAAAACGAATACATATTTTCAGCACTCGCTCAGTGTTGTTTTTGTGTAATTGAACATTTGGTTTACTAGTAATAAGAGTCATAAGTGTTGATTGATGAAAACAACAACATGCCGTGATTTTCAGCATTCATGGCCCAAATGGTTTGGGCTTTTCCCGTGAAAGCCCTTTAGACTTGGGCTTTCCGTAGTATTCCCCTAAACGTTAGGGATACTACAGATACCAAAGGATAGTTATCCCAAATGGTCTGGGCAATCGTAGTATAGCCCAAACTCTTTGGGCAATTTCAATAATAGCCCTATAATTCGGGCCCAAAATCGAGACTACGGATTAAAATGTAGTATCCGGAATTATATGTAGACTTGTTTTGACTGTTTTCCGCTATCTTAAAACCTCTTCTTTTTACTGGTAAACGACTCATTCCAACAGTAAATGCTAAATTTTCTCTCAAGTTTAAAGTTTTTAAAAACTTTTGACTGAGTGAATTCAACAAGTTTGTTCATCGAAAATCTGGCTCTTTCGTAAACGAGTCTAATCTACCTTCATTTTAGATAGTAATGATGAAAAGGTAAATTATACACCGTGAAGAGATGAAAGGACTTACTGACGTTTCGGACGCTAGTCCTTCATCGGAGTAAAAGAGAAAGAAGTGGTGACCACTTGACCACTTCTTTCTCTTTTACTCCGAYGAAGGACTAGCGTCCGAAACGTCAGTAAGTTTTTTCATCTTTTCACGGTGTATAATTTACCTTTTCATCATTACTGTTTCATTAGAAACACCGACGCAGCTCACACTAGTTTTTAGCTAGTTATATCTCTTCATTTTAGATGTCCATTAGATAACTTGTCATTTTAAAAACACTGAAGTTCAGGTCAGAAGTACGTGTTCTTGGGATACAGCAGTATTTACTGTATTTCAGTTTACGTGTAGAATTGTGGAATAACTTACAGTCTCATCTATAACTGCAATCAACTCCAAAATGAATGAGTCTCAATCGAGCGACCAGTTTTGATTTAAAAACAAGCTTAAATGTTGTCTCAGCTGAGTATTTTTTACATATGCTGTTTATGGATTCTTTCAAATACCTTTTAGAATTTCTCAAGGAATTCCTTTAAACACATTTCCTTGTCAAATTGAATAAAGTTTGGTTTGTCAACTGCATGAAGCTTGCTTTGTCACTGCTGATCTCTTGTGTACCCATGACGTCACTACAATCTGACCAATCAATAATCGCATGCTAAAATAGCTCAGTCTCGCGCACGGAGCTAAAAATAGATTTTCAAGAACTTTGATGGGGCACAGAGATGTGCTCTCTTACTTCATATTCTCTTGTTTAAGCTTAATTAAGAAAATTGTATCTACCAAAATGATAATGAACTTACAGAATATTTTCTCTTCTTTGTACTGTCTGTCTTCAATAGCACAAATATATAAAGATGCCTTGTCTGGAAACAATAATCCACCAGGTGCCTGGATCAAACAGTAACAGATTAGATTGGTATTTGACAATGACATCACAGCCAGTAAAGGACTAGTATGGAATGTGGTAGTGCAAGGAAAATGTAAACTGTATAAATTGACATAAATGCACATTGGGAACTTTAGAGAAATAGATACTTGACAGATATTTCAGACCCCGAGACCTTTGTTAGTTAGAAGTAAAAGATGTGCAAAGTATACGATTTTTTAAAATCAGAGCATCTGAGATATGGAGTGCAAGGGTGCATTCCAAACGATTCACTTAAAACACATCAAATCACACTAATTATCGTTTTCCACACAAATTGCCATTTTCTGCATAATTTTCAAAAAAAAATTTTTATAAAAAATCCTCAAATTCATCAAACCTTTCTTCTGAAGTGAAAATAATTTCCAAATTTTTCATTTCTGGCAGATTTCATTGCTTTTACAGCAAATTTGAGGTTTTAAAATTTGTTAGTTTGCATACATACTTCTTGATTATTGTACAAAAATCAACAAGGTGTTGGCAAGAGTACTTCTCCTTACTTTTAGGCCTCTTCCAAAAAAATGATAAAATAAATCAATTACAAAATTGAGAAAAAAAAAATTGTCTGCAGAAAACATACCAGCCACTTGTCTCTAGCAAACAACACTGTGTCCAGCATGGATTCATAGAATAGACAGTATCCCATCCATTCACTGATGATGATATCAACTTTGTCCACAGGAAGCTGGATGTCTTCAACTTTACCTTTGATGAGTGTTATGACTGCAATAAGACATGTTTCAAAGGTTTACATTTCTATTATTCAGCTGTTACCAGAATTTTTTCTTGGTGCTTTGGGGCTTTTTACTGCTTTTGGTTCAAAGCTGTTGCTTAGCCCTTTGACAGCTCATACAACACCTGTCCAATGGTCCAACCACCCCTAAAAAAGGCACCTCATTTTAAAAATCCCATCTTTGGCAATTTTGAGCGAGTTTGCCTGAATACCTGTCTAAAATAATAACTAGGAAACAGAGAAATGTTTCAATATGAAAAAACCTAAAGGCATGAAGAACTCTTTTGATCCAGAGAAACACCGAAAATAAAACCCTCAAAAATGCCCAAGTGTCAAAGGACTTATTTAACCATCATTAAAGCTGTCTAATAGAAAACCCTGTTAAAAGAGAGTGGGAGAGTGGTGATGGAGTTTCCCCAACATATTTTTATTGCTGTTGATCCGCGTGCACGCTCAATCACTACATCACAATTAAAGTAATTATTGGACAGGAAGCCCAATATTTACAACATCCGCCAGCGGCTGCAAAGACAAGTTTCAATGCACAAAATGTAAACTTATTTCCAGAATTTGCGTTAGTAGTGTTAGAAATCGCACGCATTAGTTAAGAGTTCTTTAGGAGTTCCTTAAGTTCTTCATCAGCCACTCTTGCAGCTTTTCCTTTGGGTGGTCTTGTTTGTTAGATGGGTTGCTCTGTCTTCTCACTGTTTTCCTTTTCCATCTCCTCGCGCACTTCTAGTGGGTAAAGCTTCTCCATGGGAAGCAGCAAGGTGTTTCCTTTACTTGTCCTCACATGGGGCGGATCTTACTCGCCCATCCTGTCCAGGGATCACCTCAGCCATGACAGAGAGCTTCCAACTAGTTCTTGGCGAGTCGTCATGGATGAGAACCACATCCCCTTCATCAATATTTGCCTGTTCAGCTTGGATTTCCATAAGTGGTGAAACTCCCTTAGTCCGGTTAATTATTATTTTCGTCACTGCTGCCAAAATCGTTTCTGCAAAATCTTTTTCTAAAATGTACTTCGTGAGCGTATTGGTATTCTTTGGTTGTACGTCTAGTGCTTCAGCTAATTCTTGTGCTACTACATGAGTCTCAATGTTTAGGTTCGTAACAATGCCTTGTGGTTTTGCCAGTCTGGGCAGAAGTTTAACTTCCTCATCAGTTTCTGTAGATATCAGGGCATCCATTTCAGATTTTACCCAAGTAGGAGTTAACATAACTCCATGTGTATTGCTTGGAGTGCAATTTAGAAAGGCTTCAAGGTAGTCTTGTACTCCATTCACGTGCTGCCAACCAGATTTGCTAGCTTTCTTTTTGTCTGGATCCTGGAAATGCAAAAGGCACTAAATGAAACACAAAATGGTGTCTGAAAATGTTTAAAGGTATGGCTTTTGTTACAGCGTATTTTGATAAACTTCTCTTTGTCTATCATGATATTATTGGCCATAAAATGTTATTACATACCTCGAATTTCCAGATTGGTGCAAGGAAAGAGGAGTAGAAACAAAACTACTAGAGATGTCAAGCATTGATCTATATGACTGTCTAAGACGCTTTTATGCAGAGGCATGAACAAAATCTGGAGAAGAATACAGCTGTTCATCACTTCTTGGCTTCAGGAATTCAATCGAGAGGCACTTTATCGCCAATAACAGGTGCATTATGTTAACCAACAATCCAGTCTTCACAAGGAGTAACAAAATGCTGGAATCCAAGCTTAAGGCTATCCGAAGAGAAAATAAAGAATGCACTAAACACAAGCCTGTCATTGAATCTCAAGACATCCTGAAATTGAAGACAAGGCCATTCATGAGTCCAGAAACTCCAGATGGTCTTTTAAGAAAAGTTTAGTGTACATAATCATCTACTGGTGTGTAGCCGTGGCTGTGAAGGTCAGCATTTGCTAAGAAGAAACAGCTTTGTATTCGATAGAGACAGTGGTGGGAAAGCATTTATACAGATGTCACATGAAGAACAGTCTAAGAACCACCAAGGGGGATTTAACGATAAGTTAAGCACAGAAAGGGAAACCAGGCTTTACAGTGCARATGAAGATGGCGACGCATTTTACTGCATTGAGCTTTACCTGAGCAAGCTAAATCCTTTACAAGAAGCCTTCTTTCAGAAACCCAGATCCAACTTTGAGCACTCCGATGATATTTGGTATCAAAACAAGCCTCTGGGTTTTAATCGACTGTCAAAGTTGATGAAAGAAATTTCCCTGGGGGCTGGTCTTTCAAAGATGTACACAAACCACTGTGTATGAGCGACCGACATTATGCTGTTGTCAGATGCAGGAGTTCCAGCTCAACATATCATGAGCATTTCTGGGCATGCCAATGAACAAAGTCTAGCCAGCTAGAACCGTCAGCCATCAACATCACAGCTCGAGAATTGTTCAGAGATCATTTCCCATGCACTGGAGAAAGGTAAGGCTCCCACCTTGTACAAAACTTTGCTACAAGCACAGCAGGTTCCATTGGCTTCAAGTTTGAGCAAATTCTCTCCTTCTGTTGTGGCCTCAAATGCTTCTTTAAACAGCATCACATTGCCATCATATTGTCAAAGTAGCATGCGGATCCACTCGGCTATGCCTCGTTGATCTACACTACTTTGACAATGTGATGACGCAATTTATCATCAATAAGAGGACTGACACATAAAAATCTGATGTCAATTTGTTAGAGCTGTGATCAAGTGCTGCTTCAGCTTCTCTTTCAATTGACGCTTGATCATTAAACGTCATGGCTATGTTGATGGTCCAGGTCAGATAACTCGTTGATTTTGGATCGGATGTGGTTCAGCAACACTTGTAGAAAATGTAGGTTCGGCTGTTGAAGTTTCGAGTGTTTTTCTGCAATAGTGACATCCTCATCACACTGGTCTCTGACAACCGCTTGACTGACACTCAAAATCTGCCTGCTCTGTTCTTGGGACATAGTTACATCCCGGTTTTGTGACCAGTGTCTTGAAAACCCTTAGTTGGCATGAACAGAACAGGCAGGAAACATGTTTGGGTCCTCAAGACTGATGTTTTACTGTTCTTTCTTTTGTTCTAATTACATTGATAATTGATGGTAATTAGATATTCTATTGATGACATCACAAGTGAGTGCTATTATGTATACAGGCAGCCCAAAACTAATATGATATTTAAAACAAAAGCCTCTGAAACAAGAATAAAAATATATATGTAGTTTAAAGTGCACCTGTGCTAACCTGTGATAAATACTTAATTCAGTATTGATTCTACATAAATTGATAATGATAATGATTTATGAATCTATATAGCACCTTTTCTATATGAATATAATCAAAGGTGCTTTACATTGAGTTGTGAATGACAGATTGCTTTTTGTGCAATTAACAAGCATGAGAGATGGTTAGTATGAAGTGTAGGCACTGAGGGTGGTCACTGCCAGGGTTTCTTTACGTCCTCAGTGGGTTTTTTTTACGTCCCTTTGGTGTTGGTTAGTAAGTGTGGAGAGGCGGGACTGCAATTTTAAAGTAGTCATCCAATGTAATTACACTTTCTCCTTAGTTATTTTAGGACCCTGAGTGTTGGTCCAGCCGGGACTCAAAACACGACCTCCTGACAAAAGTCTAATGCTCAACCGAGCCAACTGGTTTACGATTGAATAGTTGAATGGTTAAGTATTACTTTTTTATTTGAATTATAAAGGTTTGTATCACAATTCACTAAATAGTTTCTTATATTTTTGAGATGACAATATTTTGTGATATTGTTGTTTCAAAATTAATTCTAATTGGTTAACGTGAAATGAAAAGTAAAGTTCGAGTGTGTGCGTCAAATTTTTACTTAATTTTGCTTTTAATCGAGGAAAATTATTGTACAGGTTTTCCCCCTTTTTTTTGTGTTAAATTCTTTAGCATCATGATACAAAAGTAATTATGATTTTGAGACGACAATACCACAAAAAATATATTGACGGGGTTGGAAAAATATATATTCGGTATTGGGCATATATATTTTCGCCCAGCTAGTAGCTAACAATATTTTGTGGTATTGTCGTCTCAAAATTGTAATTAGTTTAGAATACTTCTAATATGTTACTATGACTGTATAGTCACCCCAGGCTTTTGAGTGTGTAATATATATATTTAACTTGTGGATACGAGAAGCATAGAAAGAGTTATTGTGATGGGTCTGAATATGCAAATGTGTAACTCGCTTGCTCCCTCACTCACTCACTAAGATTTTAGCAGATC